AAGGTATTGATGTAATGAAGCTATACACCAAGTTTCATCACTCTCACTTAATTAGAACTAAAGTTATCGTGTCCCAAAGCATCAACCAATCAAATTGCTTATCTCTGCTTACACTAAGCAGAAAATGCTCATCTTTGAACTCCATCAAGGCATTGACCTAATAAACACCTACACCAAGTCTGAACATTCTGGCTCAGTTAGAGAGAGTTATTGTGTCCCAAAAAGTGTGACGGACGGACAGACACACCGATTTTAATAGTCCCCTGCTTTCTTCGAAAGGTTGGGGACAAAAATACAAATATTATATAATAAAGAAGTTAAATAACATTTGCAGGAAAACGGAATATGAAAATCGATTCCCTCCTTCCACTACTTATTTATGAGGGCTATCCAGTTATATATCAGCTAAATTGCGATAAAATAATATTTTATATCAATAATTATTATAGCTTGTGCCATCGTGTATTCTATGCCGTTGATTGTGTGTCAACCGAATAATTATTATCTAGTTTATATGCTAAAAACTGTATTACCAAAGGGGGATAATTTAGATAAAAAGATTTTAAATATTTCTTTACAGCTGATCAGAACCTATGTACTTTGGAAAACTAATAAAGTGTTTAAAAAGTCACATCTCCAGACCTTGCTCTCAAAAACCAAGTGTCTTAATAAGCAGTGTTACTGCGAAATAAGCAGGTGGAAACAAAACATAATATTAGTCCGCAAAAGAAACGGGCGAATTTTCCATTATTAAATATTTAGAACCGAATGTACCCAATTTGGAAATCCCTGTCTACCCTTTACGCGAAATGCAAGTGTCCCATTACGCAGACGCACTCTGTAATGTTTATGTTTTGAGAAAGAAACAATGTCGAAATATGTGAAATTTACTAGAGAATAGTGAATTTTATCGAACTTCTAGGCGTTAAGGCTCCAGGAAGAGAGCAACGGGATGACAATTTCAGGTATGTCACCAAGTTTGGGCCGTTTAAATTTAAAAAATGAAGAAATGGCGAGGAATTTTAGAGTCTGAGTATCTCTTGGAACAGACAGTAAATGTTGCCAAGGAAGTAAAGGTTCTTTTTTTTGATTCGGTCTATTTCCTTGACAGAACTCACATGATAAAACTTTATAATCTATGTCCTTGATAATTCCTGGTCATCAAATGCTCATGTTAAAGATACATTCCCGCTACAAACTGGGTGATTTGATGATATATTTGGACTAAAAACATATTCAAACTAATTAATATATCATAATTTTGCTTCAAATCCTTCCCAAAACATTGTAATTGCCAAGGAATACCCTTTCCATATAAAATCGATCAAGAGGTCATGTTTGTGTCACGTGACTTACCTCTCTCGGTATCTAGCAACGGGTGCAAAGTCCGTGGAGAATTCATTGCATACACAAGATGACGTCTTTAATCGCTGACTTTTTATTACAAATATCGAATCCAAATCAAATTCTCGGAATATACACTGCCCGTGTGCAACCTATGACGTCACGAGAGCAGACATTCCTAATCGTCGAGCTGTCGATGAGGGGAACCCTTACATTTTTGTCCTGTATACGCTCCATGAGTGTTTTTCGGGGACTCAAGTATTTTTCTAGTAAGATTGGATATTTCTACTTTCCATATATACCAAAATTGCCATACTTTTATTGGAAATAACCACCCGATAAATACTTTTCTGGGAACGTATCTTTAAGGCGTTCATGACATTTTGTAATTCCAAAATGCCCATCATGAATTCTGCCAATCATCTCGTTCGGCATGGAAACAGCAATAACGATTTGACTTCCAAATGTCAATAATCCATTGATTTTGATTAAGCGCTCTCGAACTGAGAAATATTCTAATAAATTTTGTCTAACATTACATTTGTATTCAGGCCATCCTTCGCAAACATATCTTAAAACTGATTGTAATGTTTCATCTGTTCATGTTGTCCGACAAATATTTTCTAATTGCTTATCTGATGCTGGCAATTAGGTTTTATCTCATCGAACGCATCAACATTCGTTGACAGCGTACTGCAATCTGGTCAATATTGTTAAACGTTATGATTCTTTACTTTATAATACACATGCTGACAGAAGCTTTATTTTATAAATGTTGTCGTTATTAGTGCAGGCTATTCCAGATAGTCAAACAAAATTTTATTTTATAGCAATTTCAATTATGGTTATCACGTGATCAGTTTGTCATTTGTCTATCATCATCGAATGAATAACCAGCGGCTGCCAGGCAGGATACGCCCACATTTTCGAGAGATGGATAGAGAACAAGCTAACAAGAAAGTGATTTTTCCTACAATCAAGGGCCATAATTCAGGAAATTACAATTCGATATGCGCATATATCGAAAGGAACTGAGATCATTGTGTTATAAACTTACATTTCAAGTTTCAACAAAATCGGATAAAAATTGTGACCTCTATAGGGTCCACAACCTTGATATACCATATTTTTACGCTATTTGAGAACGAATGGCGGCCATTTTGTCTGTCAATTTTGGGGCGATTGTCACAAAATTCAAACTCAACTGTCCTTAGGGTGGAACGGTAATATAATATGGTTTTTTAAATCGGATAAAAATTATGACCTCTAATGGGTCCACAAGCTAAAAACATGATTTTTCGTACAATCAGGGGCCATAATTCAGGAAGTTACGGTCCAATATGGGCAAATATTGAAAGGAACCGAGATCTTTGGGTTATAAACTTATATTTCAAGTTTCAACAAAATCGGATAAAAATTGTGACCTCTATAGGGTCCACAACCTTGATATACCATAGTTTTACGCTATTTGAGAATAAACGGCGGCCATTTTGTCTGTCAATTTTGGGCCGATTTTCATGAAATTCAAACTCAGTCGTCCTTACATTTCAAGTTTCAACAAAATCGGATAAAAATTGTGACCTCTATAGGGTCCACAACCTTGATATATGATTTTCTTACGCTATTTGAGAACGAACGGCGGCCATTTTGTCTGTCAATTTTGGGCTGATTTTCACGAAATTTCGAATTGAGTTGTCCCTAGGGTGTAACGGTGATATAATAATACGTTTTTTTAAATCGGGTAAAAATTATGACTTCTATAGGGTCCACAAGCTAAAAACGTGATTTTTCGTACCATCAGGGGTCATAATTCAGGAAGTTACGGTCCGATATGCACGAATATCGAAAAGAACCAAGATCTTTGGGTTATAAACTTACATTTCAAGTTTCAACAAAATCGGCTTTGTAAACTCGCCGGCTACCCGTTCTATATTACGTAGCAAAACTCAGTATACAAGTACATTTATACTTAAAGTACTCCATTTCACAAACTTTTCATGACATAATAAATTCTCAGATGGAATCATAATATAGCCGGCGCAACGAGTCAAGTAGCCGGGCAAATTCGGCGGCGGCCGGCTGTTAATGAAGCCCTTGCAGAACTATAGTCTGTTTCAATATTCAGTATTGTATAAATAGTCATTATCATATAAGTGTCACTTCTGAATGCATCAACGTATGAAGCGCCGCAAGTCTTGTGCTGTTACTTATCGGAAAATAGTTCCAAATCTTACTTATTTGCAGCATTTTTTTTCCTTCGTTTTAACTAGTTCACTGCTGGTATTATCTGGACACTATCATGATGAGTAGAAGTTTTGGAAAAGGCAGGAAAATATCATATTGGAATGAAAGATAAAAAGGGAGCATATCTAGGGCTGGGTATTGATAGTGATTTTTACTATCGATAATCGGCAATGAAATGTCGGTCGATAATCGATAGTATCGAAAACAAACTTATTTTCACGGTCGTCATCAAGACTGGATACAGTGTAAGTTCAAAGTTCAAAGTCATACGAAGTTGCGAAAGATCGTTTGCTCCTGTCTAACTAAGGAGATTTATTTGGAAAACATTAATAAAACTTGTTATATCACGTATATATACGTAAATTGATGTTGTTTATTATTAAAATAATGCAGCCGTGGTTCCGAATGAAGAAATATCGTAAATAATTATGTTAAGGGACCAAAATGAACTTGTTCCGATTCAAAACATTGCGTACGTGCGCGCGAAAATATCAATATGGCAGACGAATTCTGAAGCTTGCAAAGGGAAATAACTAACTTTATTTACACATCCGGGTATCTCCGATTTAGCGATATTCAACAATAATTTCTTCAAAACTAAAGTAACGTTTCAATGAGATTGAATTTATGAAAACGGCTGTTCAATAAGCAGTCACAATTTTGTTTTGTGTTACATTGATACTTGATAGTAATTAAAGTGAGCGGTGTATTATAATTAACTGAAAGAAAACATTGACATTTCAGACGCAAGAAAAATAGACTAAGAGCGATAATCGATAGTAACCCACCGCTATCGATAGTGCTTTTCTGGGCCGTCCAATCGATATTATCGATTTATATCGATATTTTACCCAGCCCTAAGCATATCCCTTTGATGTCATGCGATTACTGTCAGACATTCAGTCTTCTAGATGCCGATAAAATTTAGAAATAATTTAGTGATTTGTATTGTTATACTAAGCTACTTTAAAAATTTAGACATAATTTGTATCAACAAATAATAACTTATAATATAGATCATACTTTATTAATTAATATTACCAACAAATAATTTCCCATTAGATGGTTTTAAACCAGATAAAAATTGTTACCTTTAGGGGGACCACAAGCTAAAAAGGCAATTTTTCAAACAATCAAGGGCCTCAGAAATTGTCAAATTAAATTAACTGTATTTTTCACCCCAAATAGCAGATTTCGGTAGTGCAGGATAATTTCACTGACCCTTTAGGTTGTTGTTTTTGGGCGATTTTGCATGGTCGTCTCACGTACACGTTCTTAAACACTGTATAAATTTAAAGTCAATCGGATATTGACTTTAGCAGCTAGAGGGTCCACAAGCATATGTGGACACCGGACCGACGACAATATACGACCACATTTCAATGTGGGCGTATATAAAAATGTTCACATACCTCTCCACCAAAATATTTCTCTATAATTTCAAGAGCCGACTTGTAAACTTGCTCATTTTCATGATTCTGTAGTGCTTCAACACTATCTACACCACCACATTCTTCTATTATTTCACTGATCTTTTCATGTTCTCCAATCTTCTCAGCAGTCTTAAAATAACATTTTTTTAAATTCCATTTCACCACTAAAAATTTCAAATGAGCCGCACTTTAACCTAAGCCTCTATGGGTCTATTACAGTGATGGGATTTCAAAATTTTCCTTGTCGGACATTTTACCGAAAATAAATGGGCATAACGAAATATAAGCAGCCGGACAAATACCACAATTAAAAATCATGTGTCAACAAAATATTCAAATGTCGTACGTAATAATAGGTGAACCTCGTTATTTTTCATATTTAATTCCCATACAATAATTAAATTTATCTCAGTAACATTCCTACAAAATAACTCCTGCTTCGGCATCAAATTCACAATAGTATGCATTACGTGTCTTTGTTTATACGACAGCAAATGAATGCATAACTTCCGGAATAAGAATCGTTTTCTTCTTTATAAAATGTCAACAAAATATTCAAATCTGCGCGTAATAAAAATAGGAACACCTCGCTATTTTTCATATTTAATTCCCGTGTGGTGTTCAAATTTGTGTCAGTAATATTCCTATAAAATTACAGGTTTTCGTAATACGATAGAACGAAAGCTTGCCGATCCGTACCTACTTTTAAGCCTTCTTCAACATACGTATGGCGTATGTGACTCATAGCTTCATCGTAAGCACTGCCTTGTAAGCGATTTTCGTTCGACAATCGAGATCGCTGGAAAGTGCCACTGTTGATGAGAATTTCTATATGGAGCCTTAAAAGACGTAAAAGATATCGTAGCCAAAATGACTGTCCATTGATTTGGGTGTTATATACATGTACTCTAATGATATGTGACATCTAAGACTAGTTTATACATGCTGTGATTAAAATTCTAATCGCTCTTATTGGATTGATGAATAGCCCGACAAAAAAGAAGCAATGACATCTGTTTAAGATTAGAATGATGAATTGTCCGATAAAAGATTAAGCCAGTCAATCATGGCAGATAGTAGTTAATCAAGGTGGGTGTATAGTCAATATAACACGATAAATACGTTTATCACTTAAATACCTAATCAATCCAGCCTATTATTAACGATGATCGGGTTGAGTGGTAGTTATACACTCAGTACACTATATTAATTTTGGAATTTTGAATATTATTCACCATATCTTGATGTCCGATTGGGCATATTCCTTGTCAGACAATTTTGGAAGTTCAGAAAATAGCGTCGGACATGTCCAGAATATACAGGCAAAATCCATCACTGGTCTATTAAGGGTTCAGAATTTTTCAAAGTGATCATATAAATAACCACAAAAGTATTTTTCAGAAATCATTCAGAACCAATAGAATTCTTCATAGCATAAATTAAAGCGACGGCAGAGAGACCGACAACAACAATATAAGACTACATTTTAATGTTGGCATGTAAAAATGACTCACTCGAAGTATATTACAAAGAGCATCAAGTATGACAAGAATAACTTTTGATTCTCTTACACCCAGTAGTCCACATAACAATGGTACAGCACCAGCTTGAACTAGATAGGCTATCTGTTCAACTGTACCACCCGATGTTAAATTAGTAATAGCCCATACAGCTTCTTTCTGACTCTTAAAATCGCCCTAAAAAAAAACCCCAATAAAACTAAATTAATGAAATTTAACAAGACATTCAGCAATTATAAAGTTTTATGTAATAATTTTGTAGTAGATAAAGTACAAGTACTTCTTTGTTTACGGTAGATAAATGCATAAATAAATAAATACGTCCAGGTAAAAAATTCTCCACTTTACTTCATTCTGACATACATTAAATCATATAAGCTAGCTGTCTGCCCTCTATATTATATTTATATAATTAGATCACATTTACAACAGTTATTTAAAAGTGAAAAACATTAATATATTATGTACAAAACAAATGTGATCGATAGTCTAAAAGAACCTCTGAAGGCCCACATTTTGCAAGAGATGGATAGAGAACAAGCTAAAAACAAAAGATTTTTTGTACAATCAGGGGGCATAATCCAGAAAGTTACAGTCTGAAATGCGTAAATATCAAAAGGGACAAGTTTCATCAAAATCGGATAAAAATTGTGACCTCTAGAGGGTCCACACCACAACCTTCATATTACATACTTTAACACAATTTGGGTACAAAGAGCCTCCGTTTTCCCGAAATTCGAATTCAACCTTCATTAAAAGTATTTTAAAATCTAAAAAAAAATTGTGACCTCTAGAGAATCCACAAGCGGATCCACAAGCTAAAAATGTGATTTTTCGAACATAATTCAGGAAGTTACATTCAGATATGCGCGATTTTTTAAATCGGATAAAATTGTGACTCTACAGGGACCACAAGCTAAAAACCACGATTTTTCGTACCATCAGGGGCCATAATACAACAAGCGAATATCGAACAGAATCAAGATCTTTGGATTAAAAACACGCATTTCAAATAGCATCAAAATCAGATTAAAATTGTGACCTCTAGGAGGTCCACAATCTTGATATACCATATATACTAAGCAGCAAAAGAAACGTCAGGTTGGTATGTTACACTGAATAGACGCATTGTTGTATAAAACTTTCCAAATGTTTTTATTGTATATTTGTGACCACATCTCCAACTTTACTTGAGCAATAAAGCTCCTTCCCAAACACAGAATTGAAGCCAGGAAATGTTCTCAAAAACGCAACCTGACAACTCATGCTGCACGTGCTGTTCACCGGGACCAGTCCTATAAAATGCACCCCCATACCTGGTTGAATCATTCACACTACAACATCAGCAGCTTGCCACGACTCACGACAGCTCAGAGGAACCAGGCGCTTGGCAAACTCGACGCTGGCCACACTACTCAAGCCGCTTTCGGGCCACCAACACCACGGATGATCGCCCCCGAACTGGTAGATCAAGGGTTACCACAAGGCGACAAAAACGCCATGTTGTGCAAAAGCACGTGCAGAATCTGAGACGTAGCATGCCAGACACTGGGAACACACGGAAGACCATCAGTACTGATACAGTGTGCCGACGTCTCACCAGAGAGAACATCCATTGCCGTAGACCCATCCTCGCCATCGACGTGAACGTCTACAGTTTGCCCAACAAAACCAGAACTGGTGACACAGGCAATGGAGAACTGTTCTGTTCACAGATTAGAGTCAGTATTGCCTATCAACTGCAGATGGCAGGACCAGTGAGGCTGATGTCCCCCACCGAAATCCCAAAATAAATAGATGACACATTAATTAATAGCACATTTATTTTTTTCAAATGTATCAAGCAATCAAACTGATTATCAATTATACACTTAGTTTCATCACTCCATCAGATAGAATCAAAGTTATCTTGTCCCAAAGCATCGACCAATGAAATTGCTTAGCTCTGCTTAGCTTTAGCTCGTAATGTTAATCATTGAACTCAGTCAAGACATTTGACTAATGAACATCTACGTCAAGTTTAAAAATTCTACCTCAATTAAAAGCAGAGTTGTTATGTTCCAAAGTCTTGACTAATCAAATTGCTTATCGCTCCTTAGTCTAAGCAGAATAATATAATGAATCTATACTCGGCGTTCAATCACTCTCACTTAATTAAAACTAATGTTGTCGTGCCCCAAAGCATCAACCAATCAGATTGCTTATCTCTGCTTACCGTAAGCAGACAATGTTCAACATCGAACTCCATTAAGGCATTCACCTAATGAACGCCTACACCAAGTTTGAACATTCTAGCTCAATTAGAAGGAGAGTTATTGTGTTCCAAAGTCTCAACCAATCAAATTGCTTATCTCTGCTTACTCTAAGCAGAAAATTCACATCTTCGAACTCCATCAAGGCATTCACCTAATAAACACCTACACCAAGTGTGAATATTATAACGCAATTAGAATGAGAGTAAGTGTGCTACAAAGTTTCGACCAATCAAATTGCTTATCGCTCTGCTTACCCCAAGCAGAAAATACTCATTATCCAACTTAGTCAAGGTATTGCTGTAATGAAACTATACACCAAGTTTCATCAGTCTCACTTAATAAGAACTAAAGTTATCGTGTCCCAAAGCATCAACCAATCAAATTGCCTATCTCTACTTACAATAAGCAGAAAATGCTCATCTTCGCACTCTATCAAGGCATTGACCTCATAAACACCTACATCAAGTTTGAAGATTCTAGCTCAATTCGAAGGAGAGTTATTGTGTTCCAAAGTCTCGGCCAATAAAATTGCTTATCGCTCTGCTTACCCTGAGCAGAAAATGCTCATTTTCGAACTTAGTCAAGGTATTGATGTAATGAAACTATACACCAAGTTTCATCACTCACTTAATTCGAACTAAAGTTATCGTGTCCCAAAGCATCAACCAACCAAATTGCTTATCTCTGCTTACCCTAAGCAGAAAATATTCATCTTCTTACTCCATCAAGTCATTGACCTAATAAACACCTATACCAAGTTTGAACATTCTAGCTCAATTAGGAGTGTTTTATTGTGTCCCAAAAAGTGTGACGGACGGACAGACGAACCCATTATTCTGACCAATGTATCATGGAATAAGACTCATGCGGAGTTACTCGGGACTTTCTATGGCATAACCGTGTCAATGTAATGCACTGGCCAGCCCTTAGTCCAGACTTAAACCTGATTGAACACTCGCGGTGGACACACCAGATACTGATGTATAGTCTATGTACAGACTCTAAACCTTCTCGTAATGTTTTGGAATTGTGATGAATTAATCACGAATGTGTCAACATATTGTTCACAAAAAATTGCTTTGATCCATTCAGTAAGTAGTTTTCTAGAATGATTTGATTAAAGTGCCTCTCTGATTTTGAAATCGTACTGCCTTTTTTTTTTTTGCTGTTTAGTATATTTACACTATATGAACGACAATAGGTCCAAATGAAAAAAAATGTTGGTGTATAAAAAATGCGATAAACCTTGTTGACACACCGGATGACTTAGCTGCTCTGGGCATATGTTCAGTTGTCTGGCAACCTATCTTTTATAATTTTAACACTTTACCTAAAGAACTATTTATTAAATAACTAATATGTAAAAGTTTCATGTTTATATCCCCTTAAACTCTCCATTTGATCGAAAAAACCCTATAATATTTATCCACATGATAAAAAATGTCGGTGTATAAAAAATGGAATACCCTTGTTGACTCCCCGGATGACTTAGCTGCTGTGGGAGTATGTTCTGTTGCCTGGCAACCTATCTTTTATACACCCTAAAGACCAGTGTATACAGAAAACCAACGCACACAGACCAATCAGTATCAAAATAGCAACTTTATCATCCTTAGTAAAACGAGCAAAAAGAATTTCAACACCCGAGAAACTAGATGCAGAGATGACTCACCTCAGAGAAGTCTTTACCACCCTCTACTACTACCCACATAAAAACTAGTATAAGATGTAATGAAAAAAGCACTAACCGACAGCACTGAATGTAAAGCACAAGATAAACCACCATGGCAAAATATCATACCAAATAAGAATAGTGTTGCAAGAAGCTGGTATCCAGGTAACTCTCTCAGGCACTAACACTATTAAAGACATCCTCCAAGCCAATGGGGAAATGTAAGTCAACGAAACCAACGTCCCCTAAAGGATGCATTTATCAAGCCTTCTGTTCCCGTAAAAGCAGCTACATTGGGGAAACCAGGCAAACACTAGATGTAAGTCTCAGTCAACACCAACCTAAACCATCTAACCAGACCTCAGCTGTAGCAGACCATATCCAACAAAACACAAAATATTACGTGGAAAAGACAAAAAATTAGCAATCCTCCAAAATCACACAAAGTAATGGAAGATCTTGGAAGCCATCAAATAAACCAGCGGCTGCCAGGCAGGATACGCCCACATTCAGGAAGTTACCGTCCGATATGCACAAATATCGAAAGGAACCGAGATCTTTGCATTATAAACTTACATTTCAAGTTTCAACAAAATCGGATAAAAATTGTGACCTCAATAGTGTCCACAAGCTAAAAACGTGATTTTTCGTACAAACAGGGGCCATAATCCTTGAAGTTTCGATCCGATACATGCCAATATCGAAAGCAGTTGAGATATTTTGGAGATAAACCTATATTTCAAAATCGGATAAGAATTGTGACCTGTGGAGTGTCCACAAACAATTGTGGACTGACGGACAGGGGCGACGGCATAATACGTCCACATGAAAATGTGGGCGTATAAAAAAGATACAAACCAGCTTTAAACAAATGAAGGCATCTATCTACCACATGCTTATGATGCAATTATCGCAGGAAATTAACACTAATTAATTTATAAATATGTGCGAGATACACATAGGTTAAATGCAAAATAACTGAATAGGACAGCAAGTAATAACTGTATTGATAACTTTCTGATCACAATAGTACCCTAGTATGCCCTGTGTTTTTGTGTTTATAATATTTATTTCAACTGTGATAATTACTGAATACAACTATGAAAAAAATGAATATGTGGGTTCCCTTATAATGGTGAGTTATTAGATGTAAATTACCTTGTATATAGGTGGAAAAGGTGGTTTTGAGATTATGATTACCGGTATACATTTGATTTTATTAGTTTTTCAAGTAGATCTCATCATTCTTC